AACTTTAATTGTCATATAGGTGATATAAACCTCGGCAGTAGCCTAATCTCTAACAACTTGAATGCAAAATTTTTGGGTATAAATATAGATAATAGGTTGTCTTTCAGGAACCTGTGTAACAAATTGGCCTCGGGGTGCCTTGCGGTAAGGGTTGTATCAAGGGAACTAAATTTAGGTATGACAAAATCGGTTTACTTCGCACTTATTGAGTCCCATTTAAAATATGGAATCTGCTTCTGGGGTAATTCGAGCCATTTCCTGATAAATTCTGTTTTTGTTCTGCAGAAAAGGGCTGTCAGGTATATGTGCAGGGTTGGGGCTAGGGAATCTTGTAAACCCTTGTTTATTCAAAATAACATTCTGACCCTGACAGGTATATTTATTTTGGAGACTGTCTGTTTAATGTTTAGGAAGTTCGGAAGAGAGACGAGTGCGTCTCATTATAATACGCGTCAAATAGGCACTATACCTTTACCTATACCTCATACTGCACTTGTGAGGAATTCTTTGTTTTACACTGGTAAAAAAATGTATAACCATTTGCCTATTACCATAAGATCCCTAAAAAGATTTAAATTGGCTGTAAAGGAGCTATTATTAAAGAAAGCCTACTATAGTGTGACTGAATATTTTGAGGACCAATTTTAGACCGTCTACTGGTTCACTTATCTTGTACCTGTTTTATTATTGTTTTTCAGTCTTTGTTTATTTTTGAATTTTGATACATTTTTCGTCTTAAATTTTATTTATTCTTTCGTCATTTTATTACATGATATTTTATGGTGGTACATGTGTAAGTAGTTAACTTGTCTGTACTGTACTTCTTAATATCTTGTTTATTTTAATATGTTTTGTTCAATTTAAGAATTTTTAATTTAAAACCGTGTATTTAATTTTTTTGCTAGTTTTAAGTTGCTTTGGTAATGAGATTGTTTTTTTTCTTATATCAATAAAGCTATTTTGATTTGATTTGATTTTGATTCTAATTCTTAACAAATTTCTTAGCTTAGGTTGGAAGCCTAAACTTATGATAAATACAGTTAAACCCTTGGTTAAACCAAAAAAACAATATTTGGAGCTACTTTGCTCAACTGACTAGGAAATAAACAACAGGAAGGTAGAATGTGTTTTTTCTACGACTATTGGAGAATTCGTCTATTCCGACTTAGTTTTTGATTACGGAATAGCTTCATTCCCTCACTAGTGCAGGAATATTCATTCCATCACTTGTTATGGAATGAACACCTGTGGCGCCATCTAATATCACAAGCTAAAAACACAGGAGAGTACAGGAAGTTTATCTATTTCTACACCAGCTGCACTACGCAAACTGCAGAAATACTTGGAAAACTTGAAAAATACTATAAAATACAAGTAAATCACTAAAATCGACGTTTTGTATTAATTCCTAGAGCAAGAAGTGCAACACAATTATCCTTTGCAGCCTTTTTGATGAAAAGAGGATGGAAAATAGAAAACGCTATTTGACAATGTTGATACTTGACGTATCGTTAAAAGATCAAATTTTGGAGTGCGTTCGAAATCACCCTAGGCGTTCCTATCTGAGTCTGTGGTCCGTTGTTGGTTATTTCATTTGATTCTAGTCGTAGAAAAAGTATAGTCTATAACACGTGTGGAATTCAAAATTCTAAACTCGTGTAGCCGTTCCCCTCGCCTTCGGCTCGGGAAACAAACCACTCGTGTAGAATTTCGCTTATTCCACACTTGTTATAGAATATACTATTTTCTACGAGCGTGCGGGAAATGGCTCTTTCCGCACTATTTGCTGTGGAGGCAGACTTTCTTGTTTTATGTGTTGCTTTCTTCTCAATACATTTATAAATTTACTTTCTGCACATACGCATTTTATTTAAATTACATTTTTCGTAACATCACCTCTAGTAAGTACGCTTGTAGAAAAAATATAATTCATAAAGCGTGCCGGAACAACTTTCCGGCACTCGGGCTCTTTGCACACTCGTGCCAGAAATGTCTCCTCCCGCACTTGTTAGGAAAATAGCTATTATTTATTTACATTCGACACTGCAGCCAGAATAAAATGTCTGAAAAATGTCTAACCATTATATCGGGTCTTCAAAAAAAAAACCAATCAAAAATTGCTATGGTTTTTTAAACGTACATCTTAGCAATATTTTTCTTCAACTTTGTCAATGAACTTTAATGTCAAAATGTCATGTCAAAAATCCTGACCAATGAAGAAACAATAATGCGACATACATTTTCGTAATCGAAGCAATCTTTGATTGGGCTTTTTTTTGGAGACCCGATACCTACTCATTTATTTTTGTTTGTACCTACCATAGAGAAATATAATAAACCAAAGTTACCGATTCTGTGGTGCGACACTGGCATCGCGATGACGTCATATCGATACTAACGCCACTATCCACTAAAAGACCAACTTAAATAATATTTGGCGGGCTTTTTGAACTTTTAGATTATAGTCTTGTTATGTCAAAGTACAATTTCATTGAGCGTTAAATTGCGCAACTTTTTCCTAATCTATCCAACATTGTAACTCCAAGCTCCAGATCCTAATGCTATTCCCAAGGCTATTCCATCCTCATCTCGGTAAATCTAGTAAAGCATACATATTTTGGTGAAAGACACTTTTCTATCAATTGAAACTAGATCGTATATGTTTCGTCAGCTATAGATTGAAGAGATGCATATGAAGAATTTAAGTTTATATTTTTATAGTCTCTGTATCTGGTTGGTTTAACTCGACTTTTTTCTGTTTGCAGTTTGACATCTGAAAAAATTAAAATTAATTTATGATCAGAAATGATATGTTTTCATCAATAGTACCCGAACTAATGACCTTTGAGTCTTTAGAAACCAACAGGTGATCAATCATATATGATCTGTTTCAAATCCAGAGAGTCTAAAAAATCTAAATGTCAACGAACACCATATTCACTTATATCAAAAAGGTTCAAATTAACATCCCCAAAGCACACTAAGTGGTCAGTTTAAGGCAAAAGATCTAGACAAATATTTTCTAACTTGTCTATAAAACGACTTGGATTAAAGTTTGGGGGCTTGTAAATGCAAGCTATTGTTAAAATGTTTGCCCTACATATTTAGTTTTATTTTTACTCAAGGACATTCAATTACGTCATGATCATAAAATCATGATAGCGGTCTAAGTATTTATTGTTTTATTGTATTTTTGATATAAAAACCTACCCCACCACGATCTCCACCCACTTGATCTCCTTGTGAAATTGGTCTCCTGGTATTTGGACAACACGCTGCACAACACTACTAGGAATATGTGGTTTTAAGTTGGTTCCACTAATTCCTACAATATTATAGGATTCTTCTAGAATAAAGGCTGCAAACTTATCTAAATGCAATGGCATTGAGGCTATATTATTATCAAATGACAAAGTCGCAAAGTATTGGACATAATATCGAAAATGATTTCTATAATAAAAACATAAAATATATTAATACACCCCAGATAATAAAGTGAATCAAAATCTACACCTTATCCTCAAAATGTTATACAAAGCAAGAGTATTAAATTAACTATTAAAAAAATGGGAATTACCAAAAAAAGAAAGGAACAGAAAATATAAATTAAGTAAATTAAGGAGAGATACTAAATGAGTAACACTTGGGTGGGTCCCATAACAAGTTTTAGCACGCTTCTATACTCTATATCTTGAATCCGCTACGAAGTTGCAGTTGCACCTGCGGTGGGACTATAATTATTGATCTTTCTCCGATTTTGAGTGCTAGGATAAAACAGATACTTCTTCACCAAAATAATTGTTTAATTTTTGCTTCAGCATATTAATTTCTGGTAGTTCAAGTAGCTATTTCTTAACCGAGAAAGAAAGGAGTTTTATTGCTACTTGAGAAATTACCAAAAATGTTTTTAAACATTCAACTTATGATCCAGTCAACAAGATTTTATGAACTCGGAAAAAAACGAATACTTTATTTTTTCAATTATTTACTTACTGATGGCGTTTCCGATTGGTAAATTCAGTGCGGACTGAGTGTATTTGCATCCTTTTAATCGACCTGTAGATGAAAAAGACAGAAATAGAAAAAATTGCACTAGTTCCGCACTAAATCTACCAATCGGAAACGCCATGAGTAATAATTTTTTTAAAATGTCACTGACATTTTATCAGTTCATCATCCATGGCCGGTTTCTACTGACCGAATTTTTGTGGGTATATATTCTGAGCTACCTGAAAAAATAACGACCAGACAAATGTCTTCCCACATACAATAATTTCACCTACAAAGAATATGTATGATTGACCAAAAGGCTGACTACTTGTAATGATATATTTGTGTAACTAATCCAAAGTTGATTTTTTCTTCAATCTAGTTATAGGTAGCCAGGCGCTAAATTGAAATTATTTTCCTTTCATTAACAATAATTTTCTGCATACATTCAAAGATGTTCAGCTTTTCAGGTGTAGAGCAATGACAAAAAAGATGTTTAAGCTGACATTACCAAGGACTTCATTCATATAATACATAATTAGTGTCAAGGATTCCAGGGTACACTAAAACACACTTCACAAACAGTAAAAACTTCTATTAAACAAATTTACTCGCAAATTTACTAATCACTTATCGAAAAGTAGGAAAATCACGTATTTTAACTAAACTCTAACAGCTGTATGCAACATCCTCTTTTAACTTAAAAGTACGTTTTAAAACTGGTACCTTTAAAAATTTGTATGGCTTAGAATACACATTTTTAAAAATGACCAGTTTTAAAAAGCGCTCCGGATCTATCTGGAAAAACATCGAATGGAATATAATAGAGTGCCCAGAAAAGGCATGCTGCCCGACCTTTACAAATAATTTCGTAGAATCCAGGGCCGGATTGTCAAAACATTTTCGTTAACATTATTATATAAAACCGAGTATAATAATCCTTTCCTCTTATCAATAAAATTGCAACACACTGATTTACTACTCCTAATTTCAAAATTTTATTCTCCTAGGTGTCTGACGATGAAGATGACACCCACCCCAACATTGATACTCCATCCCTGTTCCGCTGGCGGCACCAGGCAAGAGTTGAACGCATGGAAGAAATAAAAAAGGAAAAAGAACAGCTAGATACGAAAAAGGCTGAAAATCTGAAAAAATTAAAGGAAGCAGAGCAAAAATTAATAGAGGCCAAAGAAGCAAATAAACCAGTTGATGATTTGGAGAAGACTTTTAAAGGTTTGGAAATGGAAGCTAAAGAAATTGAAAAGGAATTTGAAGAATATCAGAAAAAGGAAAAGGTAAAATTAAATCCGTTTCAGAATTGATTTTTTTAATATATTTAATATTATTTCTAGTTAACTCCCTGGAATGTAGACACTATAAGCAAACCTGGATTCGCCAAAACCATCATTAATAAGCGACCACCAAAACCAACCGAAGAAAACCTAACAGAGGAAGAAAGAGAAGCTAGACTGAGAAAATTCATCAAAGAAAATGAAAAAGAACTCAAACATTTTGGAATGCTACGCAAATACGAAGATTCTAGAAAGTACCTGAAAGAATACCCAAATTTAGTATGTGAAAACACTGCGAATCACCTGGTCAAATGGTGTATCGATTTAGAAATGCAAGAGAAACACGATCTGATGGGCCATGTGGCCCATCAAACTATTTGTATGCAATACATATTGGAATTGGCTAAACAATTGGATTGTGACCCACGTGCTTGCGCAGATCCCTTTTTCTCTAAAATCAAAGATGCAGGAGAATATAAAACTTCGTTTGATGACGAATTGAACATGTTCAAAGAAAGAATTAGGAAAAGGGCTGCAGAGAAACTTGATGAACTCGTAAAGGTGAGAATTTTTCACAATTTTTTGTACTTAGAATAGGCCATATTTATTTAAATTAGTTTGTTTACCCTACTTTTTGTCTATAAATCCTGTTTTCAGGAATATGAAGAAGAAGAAAGACAAAAACGCCTAGGCCCTGGTGGTTTAGACCCAGCTGAAGTTTACGAATCTCTCCCGCAAGAATTGCAAAAATGTTTCGATGCCAGAGATGTAAAATTGCTCCAAGAAACCATTGCTAAAATGGACGAAGAACAGGCCAAATATCATATTAAAAGGTGCGTCGATTCGGGATTGTGGGTACCACAAGGTTCAGAAGACACCCAAGATCCTAAAGAAGAGAAAACTGAATAAAAATAATCCATTGAAATATTGTTACAGATAGGTAGGTAATAAATTATGACATTACAAAATTACTTTTTATTTAGCATTAGGTATTTGTTGCTAATTTTAATTTCATTCTAAATTGTCTTTATATGCTATAAATATATTATTATTCATTGAAATCTTATATTTTGTTTAATTTAATAAGGGTTTGGATAGGTTGGGTTGGGTGCCAGTTTGATAGTTGCTATTCATTTCCTTCACTCACTAGTAATAGTACATTTCCTAACTAGTGCGGAAAGTGCCATGGACATGACGAAACGTCTATTTGGCGTTTAGAGTCTAGTGGGCAAATTCTTTTGAAAACTGCTGCTAGGGGATTTTGTGACTGCCTCTGGGGGATGACCGACGCCTATAGTATACATCTGAGGCCCAAAGGTGAAATAGATCACAAATTGAAAATCAGAGAACACTTATACTTGCTTATAACTTTGGTTGAGCTATAGATTGGTTCTACTTCTCGAATTTATTTGGTTAACAGTAAACTTCATCACAAAGCTAGTCAGAACTTTAATGTTAGGTCTGTTTCTGCAGAAATCACAAACCAGTCATAGCAAGTTTCATTGGTTGAAAACAGTCATAAAACTAATTTCAACCAATGAAATTTATTCTGACTGATCTGCGATTTCTGCAGAAACAGCCGTTGTCTGACTCCTTGACTGTCAAAATTGATATAGATCTTCATTCCTCATAAGTTTTTTCTCCACATACTTACTTATGCACAGGGTCTTTCCCCATATATTGACCCCCCCACTACAGAGATATCAAAAAATTGTAAATATAAAAGTTTTGGGGTTTTATAGTCCAACAAATACCATTGTGGTGATAGTAGAATTGACAAAAAAATTGTTGTCTAATTATTGTTCATAAAATTCTTACCTGAAATAGAATCCGTCACTGTCATCAATTAGTTTGTCAAAGTTATTTTCGAAAATGATACAACCACAAAACATACAACGAACAAACACAGCTACTAATTTTGACTATATTAACCTTTTTCCAACTCGAAAAGAAGCAAATAGAAAACGGGTACCCAATTCAAGTTCAGAATGTATTACAAGGGGCAACAGAAACGACAAAAGTGCGTCTCGCAACAATTGCAAGTATTAAAATTCCCATCTGATCTGTCAATACTACTTCAGAAATGCGTTTGTAAAATGCTATTGGGAACATATCTTAAATTTCAATAGTAATTAACCACCAGTAACTTTTTGTAGGTGATATCAACGACATAATCAATGAACATACGTTTTTTGCCACCAATATCACGTGACTTTAAAATGGTATTTGTCGGACTTACCTGAAATTATCGAATCCGATATCAAAAACTTTTTTGTTTTTTTAGAAATGTCATATTTTGACAGATGGTTAGTTTGTCAGTTTTTTCTTATGGAACACTCTATATATGAATTATGAATTCATAGTTGAAAATAGTTGAATTCTCTGATTGGAAATATATATGGTTTAACTACTTCTAATAGTTCTAATTTCAGCCGTTTTGGAAATATCGGGTTCTAAACATTAAGAAAATAATACATTGAAACACTTTAGTAGGTGGTGCATTGTTGTTTGACATGACACAAGTCTTTCAATGTAATATTTTCCCGAAGTTTAGCACCCAATATTTCCAAAATGCTCAATTAAAAGTAGTTAAATCATATTACATTCATCTTTCTATTTTCACGATTAGAACTTGTCAATATATTTATCCGTTCTGTGTTGACCCTTGGGTGTATATTTTAAGTGATACCACTATTGCTATATCCGAAACGGTGAGAGCTACAAGGTCGGTTAAATTAGAAAAAAATTAACTTTTTTGATGCCCATTTGAGAATCGCTCACAGTGTTGCCAAATTCCGTATAGTTTATGAAATACAGGTTTATAACTGGGGCCGAACTAAGGTAAAATTTTGGTAAAAATCACTGATGATCACTTTTTAGATCAGAAACGTCGGCCAATCATACTCGTTAAAAAGGGAATAAAAGGCGCTTTCTAAAAATGACATAAAAAATGCAGGTCCGGATTTAAAAAAATTAAGTTGATAATGGTAGTTCGATCATGAAACGTCGGATTTAAAATTTGAAGCTGCCATGTTGTAGAGCGAAAAAAATTATAAAACTTTTGGAAATCACCCTGTATTTCATAAACTAAAAGGAATTTGGCAACACTGTAAACGAGTCTTGAATGGGCCTCAAAAAAGGCAACTTTTTTCTAATTTAACCGACCTTGTAGCTCTTACCGTTTCGGATATAGCTATAGTGGTATTACTTAAAATATACACCCTGTATATTTCAAGTCAGAAAATTCGACTCTTCTCAACTGTGAAGTCATATACAGGGTGTCCCACCGGGAACCAAATCGATCTATACATATATGAAAAACTGTATGCAGAAAGTTTTTGAAAATTTGACCGTATACTAATCTAATGTCAGTGAAGGCAACCCGGCTAAAATATTTTTAAGATGTTGGCACTTTCGGTTATACCGGAAGCAGACGTCAACTTGCTTATTTTAAATGAGGCACCCTGTATGTGATTGCATATTTGGATTCTACGTAAAATTCTGAGCAGATTTCATGTGATGTATGCTGTATGCTTTGCCTAAGTTCAACTGTTTTGGAAAATATTGATACATAGTTAAAAATTAACTTTTTGCGACACTTTGACAGGCTGTAAAAAATAAACGGTTAATTTAAGAGGAAAACCGATTTTACATTCCTATCTTAGATTTTCTAAACTATCATTTTTGACACCTAAAGTCTGTTTTTTTTTCTAAAGATAAAAGTCAAAATGACATTATGTTGGCAATACAATGTCAAATTGTTAATGCATTCAAATTTTTTATGTAGAAAAGGCTTGTGTTGCCAACATGGTTACTAAATTTTTGATTTGGGGAATTATCTTTAAAAAAAAAACAGACAGAACATTGACTTTTTTGCAACTTTGACAGGCTGTAAAATCAGAACGGTTAATTTAGGAGCAGAACCGATGTTACATGCTTGTCGTAGCTTTCCATAAACTATCATTTGATACCAACTTTAAATTTAATCCATGATTAAAGATTCCGGTTAAATTTAATCTCTAGTTAAATTCAAAGTTGGTGTCAAATAATAGCTTATAGAAAAATAAAAATGAGAATGTATGATCGATTTTGCTCTAGAATTAACCGTTTAGGTTTTACAGCCTGTCAAAGTTGTAAAAAAGTCAATTTTCAACTGTCAATATTTCTGAAACAATAAGGATAATTTTTTTTTTGCAGATCCATTAAGGGCCGATACTTTTGCTCTTGTTTAACGATACGTCGTTAAAGTTTTGCATGGGCCAAGGTCTATAAGTATGATGTGGTCGAAGCACATTCAAACCCCTGATTATTTTTAACGGCTGTCAAATGAGAGCAAAAGTACCGGCACTAAGGCCCGGTTGTACAACGGACGTTCAACCGAAGTTCACACTGACTAGTGGTTCAAAGGAAAAAACTCGTTGTACATGGTCGGTTCAGAGTGTGAACTGAGGTTGATCTTGAACGTCCGAATTTGGGCGTTCAAGGGGAGTTCAAGTCTTTTTTGGGTTTTTCTAACCTGACTCTCCTATGTTTTGTTTGTTTTTTGATAAGGGATCACCATGGCTTTTGAATATATATTTTTTTTCAAGTGGATATTCGTTATTTTATATTTAATTGAAAATGGATCTTGAGTGGGAACTGTGGGAAGATATTACAGATGACGAAGATATTTAAAAATTACTTAATTTTATGTTACATATAAATTATGTATACTTTCTCGAGCCCCACAGATATTCAGAAATCGAACAGCGAACATATCATTTGAACATTTGTAATGATAAAGAATAATTCAAGGACAGATTCAGTTTAGAGAAACAAGCAGTGTGATTTATCATAGATGAAATTATGCATCTGTGACCTGTCCGCTGTCCTGTGTGTAAAAAAATATGAAAATTAAAATTAAATAAATAGTAAACAAGAAAACACAAAAAATAAACAATGAATTTGATAGGTTATGGGTTGGGTTGCGCCTATTTTCTTTCTTCTTTTTATTGTGGGCATTGCAACTGATGGTTCAGGTAAACCGGCAGTGGTACAACACTCGAAACTCTGAACCACGTTCAACATTGAACGACGGTTCAACAGAACTTGTGTTGAACCATTCTTTGTACAACCGGGCCTAGAGAATTAAAAGTCCTTTAAAACAAGGTATCACATGACCCATAGTGCCATTTAAGATTCTGAGGTTAGGATAGCTACGGCCGGAGGAGTAATTCAGAGAGACCTGAAAGGTAAGGTACCTTGTTTTGGTTCCCCCTTCCAACCCTCCAAACGGGTTTTTCTTTTTTTTTATCGATCACCATTTATTCATTTATATATAAGCCATTGACAGTTTTGGGTGGGACACCCGGGCTGCGTTCAAAAACGGCTAAAGCCGAGCCAAAATTGGCATATTGCGTTCAAGTTCGGCTCCAGCGTGCCAAAAACGGTTGGCTTTACACGTTCCAAATCGGCCGCGGTAAAGTAACTTTTGGAGGCTCTTTCAACTGAGTCTAGAAATGGTTATACGAATTTTGATTGGATGAGATCAAATTCAATATGGCGTGGCCGCCAGGCAAGTTAGCTTTGAATATGGGTTTTCATGCATATTTCAATTATTTTGTTTGTTTGCAGCTTCGATTTTGATTATTCAATAAAATATTTGTTAACTACCCAGCCAGCAAGGGTACGTCATATTGACGTCCTTATATGGTGATAATTCGTCAATACTCGTCACCTGACCAAAAACTGACGACATATTGACGTGTGATAAATGCCGTTCAAATGACGTGCTTTTTATCACGTAATATTGACGCGTTTTTCTGGTGATAAATGTAATACACATTGACGTCAATATATATCATGTAATATTCACGTATTTTGCTTGTGGTTCAGTAAACCTGGTTTTTTGAATTAGTTTTTTTTTTCAATGTGTTTTGAATGTATTCCTAGAATTCCTAGGGTTGTGCCGTGTATACTGTATTCTATAGTGAATAGGAGACAAAGTGATGATACAAATCATTATTTTTTTTCGCATTTGTAACTACTCACGAAAATTTTGATCGAATCGAATGCGAATAATACCCC